TCTCTCTCTCTCTCTCTCTCTCTCTCTCTCTCTCTCTCTCTCTCTCTCTCTCTCTCAGCCCTGTCATCGCTTGACCAAGGAACGACAACCGAAACTGACGCTAAAAAGCTCGTGAAAATGTTGTTGGCTTGTTCACAGGTAGAATGTCACTCATCACGAGGAACAACACTGACCTATTAGCAGTGGCAAGAGACGTGACCACGCGAAGAGGGAAACGATCAAGAACAACACGAATGCGGACAACAGAAGAGAACAACCCTGGTCGTGAGAGCGTGGCCGACGTCACGATGGAGAGTAATCGAGAGAAAACAATACCGAGGAAAGAAGACCATGTTGAGCGCGGCGAAGTGGAAATGCAAAAGTTGGACAAGGGAGCGACGCACACGGAAAAGAGCCCAAAAGCCACAATGACAGAAGCCAAAGAAACAACAGAGAGGACAGCGGCGAATTGCAGTACAATGACAATGGAGGCTATGTTGGAGAGATGGGAGCACCTGTCACGGAAGGACCCGTGGTACAACAGGATGTACTTGTATGCGACAAGGGGAACAATCTGCTCAGCGGACCTGGGACGTTCAGAGTCGTGTGGGAAGACGAGACAGGGAAAGAAGGGCGAGAACACATCAAGCTCGGCGGACGGGTTGGAGGTTGTTGACGAGTCCAACATATATCCATTCACATGGAAAGGCAGAAGGGAGGAGATTCAACTGGGGGAGACCGATGTGATGTGCTTGGCCGTTAGGAACTGGCTCAATGACAATGTAATGGACATGTATTTTTTGCAGTCAGTATACGAAAAGCAATGTCAAGGTAAGGACACCGCAGAAGTGCATGTGTGCACTACATTTTGGAATCCGCAATTGCTCGCTAATCAGCAAGGTGACACATCGAAAAGGGGATGGGAGTTGCGTGTGAAGAGTCGGACGACCAAAGTCCATCGACAGTGTAAAAACCTCGAGGTTGCACCGGTTGTGCTTATTCCAATTAACCACAAGCATCATTGAATGTTGCTCATATTGTTGAATGTAAGGGAGTTTTGGACCGACGGCACATGCCCCAATGCCATAATCGTCGACTCGTGTCACGGGTATGCAAGTCCGGATTGGAAGGCGTTGCGGACATTATTGTGGCACGAGTACCTCAACGACAATAAAAGGGGTCCAGATGTCACACGGCAACTGGTGGACAAGTCGTGGAACACTTGCAGAGACGTGTTTGGTCGTGGACTCATCCATGCGAGGTATTCACAATAAAGTAACAGAGAGGATTGTGGTGTGTATGTATGTTGCATGGCAGAAGAGTTGATAACTAAGCTTGCACATCCCCCAACACGGAATGACATCTCGAAAGACGACGAACTGGAGATTGTAGAGAAGATGCACATCGATGAAAGAACTATTCGAGACTTCCGCGTCAGAGCTCTCGATCGCATTGCAGAGCGCGCAGCAGCAGCAAAAGGTCACAAGAGTGTTGGTGCACACCGCACGCTAGCTCGTGCGATTAGAGCGAAGATAAAAAAAGACGGTGGCGAACTGCCTTAGACAACGGCGCAAGTGGCATGCCAGCGGGACGATGATTGGGGGGGGGGGGGGGGGGGGGGGGGGGGGGGGGGGGGGGGGGGGGGGGGGGGGGGTATCGTGATTTCGGAAAACGGAGGAGGACTGGAGGTGTATATTAAGAGGAAGTTGGGGAACAATATTGAATGCGCCACTTTTTTTTTTCTTTTCTTGCATGGACAAGATATCTTAGCCTGTCAATATATAATATGAGAAACATCTCTCTCTCTCTCTCTCTCTCTCTCTCTCTCTCTCTCTCTCTCTCTCTCTC